ATTTGAATAGACTCATGATTTCCCTGGATAAGTGATTTTTTTTTTCAGGAAATGGTCAAGCTACCATAAACTTCGAGCACTCTTGGGGTGATGGAGTTGCGGTGCTACGATTAATGGAAGAATCATACAAGTTAGTTTCCTCTTATTTTTTGTTTTGTTTTTTTTTTTGCCACAAAACATTCATTGCTTCAGAGACACAAACACTCATCATTTCGTTACACCGGACACTGAGCCACAACCCGCTAATCCGTCCATGGTGAAGGAAATAGGTCGGTTCCTTTTTGGTTGTTCATTCAGACGAGTGAGTACAATATAATTTGAGAAGTACCTTCATCTTATTTTATGCTATTTCATGAAAGATGTTTAATATTTCTTTCAACCGCACGTAATTTCATCTTTTGTTACTGAACTTGCTCTCAGATTCTACTGAGGCGACCACGCTTTAGTTACCATGGTAGAGTTGTGCCGTAGAACGATATAAAATGCTCTAGTGAATCAAAAGGTTTCATTTCGCTGAAAACTATGCTTCAGAATTCCGCCTCACTGATTCCCTGAAGTCGCAAATCAGTAAAGCACAGAAGGATCATGTGGCTCGGAATAGTAGTCTTGACTTCGCCACGATGGAGTATAGTGGCATGACAAAGGACACCATAAAGAAATCGAAAATGTCTCCCGATTCCATAATGCAGCTTGCGATTCAGGTTGGTACATTTTCGCTCCACAGTAGCAAAGTGAACTCATTAGAACTCTCGTCCTACTTTTCAGATGGCATTTTATTCAATGTACAAAGAAATGGTTCCCACGTACGAATCTTGCTCAACAGCGGCCTTTCTTAAAGGGCGAACAGATTGTATGAGGTCGGTTACATTTTTTGTTTTATACCATGTTCAACCTTTCGTGTACGCATTTGATGTAATAATCACTGAGTTGTTTTTTGTTACTCTCTAAAATTTTATTTGGCAATTGCACTAGTATTTTTCCCTATTCAATGACTTTAGCTGTATATGTTCAGGAGTAAATCTGTTTAAGCCCGACCCTGTTATTTATACTGTTAATCAGAGCCCAAATCGTTCCTCAGCAGGTTAATGGACGTATCATTATTACGTATTTACATTCAGATTGTCAGAAACATCACCTTTACTTATTTGTTTTTTGAAATTATTATAGGTCTAAACAATTGGTCTTGCGAGTTTAGGTCTGCGACGGCTGCCACTAAAGAGGCCACTCTAGCCATCTTAGAAGGTGGAGTGAAAAATGCTGAGCAACTGCTAATTAACTGTTCAAATACTCATGGACAACTGGTGAAGGAAGCATCGATGGGTAAGTTTTTCGAAAGCTTCCAGTATTTATATGTGTTTCTAGAATCCCATTTGATGCACTAGCTCAGCCTTTCACAGAGCAAACAAGAACTCATCACATTCACTCATCACACAAGCTGAATAATTCGTAAACTTTTCATTTTGAAGGAGCATTTTCGGAAATCTGAGCTTAGTGAGGTGGAATGTCTGTTGTTGTTATTTATACCTTCTGGAAAGTCAGCTCAAATTCTCATTTTGTAAGTAGCTTTCAAACGTCAACTCTGAACCAGAAAAATCTCCGAATAATTTTGTTTTCGTAAAAATAATGCCCATTCCCGGGCTTTTGCATGTGGATTGTTTTTGTCATGATTCTTAGGTGCAGAAGCACACTGGCCGAAGAAGGAGTATTTGGGATCACTGTTCAATGTTTAGCGATATGATCTCATCTTTTCTGACTCAACTAATTTAAGGGCAAGCTTTTGATCGTCACCTCTTGGGACTGAAAATCAGTGCGGAACGCGTGGGAATGAAGATGCCAGCTTTATTCAATGTTCGTGCATTATTTCCTTTATTTTTTATTTAGTATGTTTTTATTTAGTATTCTTCTTACCACACTAGATTTTCAATTTTCCTAGGATCCGGGATATCTTCGTATGGGTCATTTTGTGCTTTCAACTAGCACTCTTTCTACCAACACTATTGTGTTTGGAGGTATGGTATCTACATTGCAATGTTTGCTCACTGTTGCATATCTTATCGGGCGTGATTCAGGGTTCGGTCCCGTGGTAGAGGACGGCTTCGGCATCGGGTACAACGTTTCCTCATCTCGTCTAGGTGCCGTTATTTCCAGTCAAAAGGTTCTCTGATCGATTCCAATTCACCGATTCTCATTATTGATTTTATAGAGGCTTATTGTCGCGCTTTTCAGAGAAACCGAGACGCCAAGGAATTCAGCCAAGCGTTGGTGAAAAGTTTGGATATATTACGCAACATCATGAACAAGCCTTAATTTTCGCTACTATATTTATCTGATAAAGCTCTTTGAAACGAATCTGTGACTCCCTCTCTCAACGATCCAGTAATAGATCTCTCAGATCTACCAAATTAAGGCTGTAGTACTGATTGTAATACTAAGTTATACACGTAGAGTTTTCTCGTTCACTTAATAAATTGTGATATCTGACTCTTAATGTCCTTGGTTTGTTGATCGTGATAGTAATGATAGCCTTGGTTTTTTTTAATGAAATTCATTAAGTTATTTTGGCAGGGGTTAACCTTCCAAATGTTTGACGTGGGAAGCTTGTTTTACCGGGTTGATTGATTACGTTGATGTATTACCTTTCAGTTTGTGGAACAACAAAATGTTTTTGCACTAATAAACTGTAAAGTAGAAATGGCTTTTTCTTGGATTAAAAACGTTGACGATCGTAATGCTTTCGTTGAGTTTGCTTTCTTCAAGTCAATGCTTGTGTTTTTCGGATTCTTCGTTGTTTAGAACAGGTGTGCATGAGTGTTCTAACGTAACTGTGCTGCAAACGTAAGTTGTTTATATCTTGGTTCATTTTTTGTTATTTAGGTTGTTTTGATTTTGCTAGAAGAATCAGTTTTAACCCATTGCCGACCGCGCATTTTACGTTGTCCTTACATAACTTTTAATTTCTCTTATAACTGTAGTTGGAAGTGAATGATTCCTGGCCCACGATGCCTCAAGATTATCTAGAAGGCTGTGAACTTAGTTGATACTTGAAAACATGAAAAGAGATTAAGAACACTCGATAAATAATATAAATACTACAGGGGCACGATATGATGTGGCCTGCCAGCGGGCCCTGCGGTCGTCAGTCGATTAATATTATGGACTCTTGGCTAGTAGTCACAAGATATTCATAGTATTTGAAGGCTGGCTTTATATAAATAAGGTTCTGCCGGTTTTACCAACGCCTCTCCTCACGCCTCTTTCACATTGAATGAATCGACTCTGTGAAGATAACATTTGACTTTTTTTTTGGTTGCTGTTAAAGCAATATGCATAGTAGGGACACTACAATTTGGTATTTTTTTACTACTTCATCTACTACAGTCTTTCCATTGGAATACAAACTGCATACTGCAGTCTGCAGTATGCAGTTTGTATTTGTAAACTGCATGAACGCAACCTCTTATTTTTGTGAGGTATAGAGCCTGTGACGTTTAAGTTGTTGAGCTACAACCCTAAAGAAATAATAGCAAGGCTGGTTTTCGTTGTTGAGATGGCCGTATTCTGAAGCTCTGAGCTCTTGAATACCCTTTAAATCATTCTGAAAGAAAATGGTGTAACGATATTATTTCCATTCGGAGCCGATTATCAACTCTTTTTTACTGCATTATACGTACTGAGAAATTCATGTGATACATGACCGTCTGTGTTTAGATGGGAGATCAGACTACGAATCGTCCCGAAATGGTGGAGGCAGCCAGAAAGTTCATGCTCACACCGAAAGTTCGAGATACGCCATTCGAAGAACAACGGCAGTTTCTTCTTGGGAAAGGTTACCAAAGGAACACACCAAGTTACTTCATTAAAAAGATGCTTTGAAACATTTAGGCGTAACGGAAGCTGAAATCCAAGAGGCTCGAGCATCTATTCCTCCTGATTTGGTCACTCAAAATGGAAATATGGCACACTACACCCCGTACGCGGGAGAGCAGCCTCAATCGAATAAGTGAGATTCACTGATGGCCTTAACATCAGCAATAAGAATGCTCTTCTCTACTAATGCTACATTTTTAGAATCCTCTCGTTTGCTCAATCAGTGGCCGTCATCGGCTGTGTATCATACGCCGGCTATCGATTCCTGCGGTCTTTTGTTTTGCCCCGATTCTTCGACATCCCTGATCCTGCTACCGAAGAAGTACGGCAGTTACAGGTTCGTTGCGGTTCCTGAGAACGACTACAATTGCTCGTTTGCTGCTGCGAATTTCTTTGATTGCTGCTTTATTTAGCCCTAGTCCTTGTAGCGTTCGTCATCGCATAATTTCTGAATGAAAAGACTGGCTGTGGATTTAAACCAAGCGAATTTCGAAATCGTTCAGGTCCAAGTTAATGAGTTGCAAAATTCCATCAAGTTTGTTCTGGACAGCATATCACAAACGACAACTATGCTCGCTGCTCAGCAGCAAGAAATCAATCGCGCACTGCTTTCGGTAACTCAACGTGATGCGGATGTCAGCCGTGTTGAGGTACCATCATCAGTATGCATCTGATATTTGCGTGTAAGTAAATAAACAAGCCATGCTTCTTGACTGATAGCTTTTTTCAGGAAGGTATATCGACAATCAAGAGCTTATTACTAAGCCAACACAATTTTGCACCTATCCTTGCACCCACAGCCAAAGCGCATCAGCTTCCAAGCTGGCAGCGACCAGAGGTTGGCTGTTATAGAATCGAGAGTGGATTGCTATCCAGGAATTGAATTGATATTTCTTTAGGCAGAGTCCTCTTCACACACATCAGCTGTTAACTCTGGCTACACGACGCCACCTGCAAATTATAAAGATATTACAGAGGACATGGGTAGTAATGGAGCTCTGAGCTCTGATAGTGTTTGATTGTGCAGTTGATAATATCCGCATTTATTTTCCGTTTCACTTATCGCTTCACTTCAGCTCATAAATTCACTTGTTCAAATTGCTCAACATCGATTCGACAATGTCTTGCCTTTTTCTCTTTCCGTTCTAGCCAAGCAAATCTTGTCATCATCGTTTTCATCCAAATCATAGTTTGACTTATATGAAGTATTGTGTGGAATAAATAACTGCCCTACGTTTCTATTTCATGCTCAAATGACTGTCTATTACAGAAATACATTAGTTTGACTTTAAAAAACTTTGATTGTGTTCTGTGATTATGTGAATGGCGGAGATAATGTAGTGACAAGTGACGCACTACCACACATGCGTGATCCGGGAATCAAATCTCGGGTGGGTATTCGCTTAGACCAACCAAGCCTTCCATTCCTCAGTGGTCGGTTGATTGGTATCAGGCCTACTTGAGAGGATAAAACCACTGACTCGAACATTGGCCGGTCACCAAAAGTCATTGTATTGGCCAAATAAGCATTCAATACGACACTATGATTTTGAATGGAAGTCAAATGCCGGGCGCATCCTGAGAACAGATTGATTAACGTCGAAGTTTCTATCTTTCTTTTTGTACATACCTGTACTCGTCATATGCTAGATCAATCACTGGTAACGCGTCCGTTCTCTTAGGGCTACTTAGCAATCATACCCAAGTACTACTTAATATGGGAGCCAAGTAACTTACCAGTTAGGGGTCATGCTCCATTTGCCAAACTCGAAAATCGAAGGGGCTTAATCGACGTTGTGGGCAAATGACGGTTTCTTGATATGCCAAAATGTTGAAAATTGCTGCCTCTTTTTTGGATTAGTCCCTAAACAGTTAAACGGACCTGGTTTTCTAGCTGTAAAGCCGACAATCAAAATGCGAAGCTCCCGTTTGCGACAGTTACAGAGCATAGTCCACCTTCGTCGGCTGGCTTCTGATGCAGGCTCTAGAAAAGGTGGCACAGGTTTGTCACCGTTTTCCTTTTTTTNTTTTTTTACTCTGTAAATGCTTCTAGATAGTCATAATGCCCTTCAGATGCCCTAGATGGCTTTCATATAACTCCTATGGGAGACTCGGATATGCCCCAGAGGAGTAGAGTTAGCTTTCTTTCAACCGAAATGACAGAAGCTAAACAAATTGGAGTTCGTGGACTGTCTTGCTATGGATTTCGTATGATCGATGGAAGTTTTTTGTAAGTTCCATGCTTGGTTGCTACCTGTCAGACTCCTTCTACTTATTCCTCTGCTTCTTCCAATTTTTATTCAGGTACGGACCAATAGCTTTGTTTCCGAAGACAGCGCTGTCCTGGCGAGTTCACACTGCTGATGACATAAAACCACAATCTCTCAGTTTGTTCGCAATGTTAGAGCCAAAAATTGATATCCTTGTCATTGGCGCTGGTGATAAAAAGAATATTGACAAGTGAGCAACTTTAATCCTTTTATTTGGATTTACGTACTCAACGTTCAAGAAGATCTCAATAAGGAATACTGCGAAAATTAATAGATTTTCCTTTTCATTTCATAAGACTTAATGTACTTCCAAGTGCGTGCAAGGACGTATTCAGATCCGGAGTGTTCCTATACATAGAACTTGCAACAGACAGCCTTTTCTTTCAGGGTGAGAGCACGGATCATTGGTTTCCTGAACGAACATCGCATAGGTCTGGAAATTTCTGATACGGTAATTATTCAAACGTTGCTTGTAATTTTATAATTCGAAGTAGTTGTGGTCACTAGTTTGGTGAGGTTGCTCGCCCAAAATCTATGAGATTTGCTACGCGGATACCTCTGAACTGCTCGAGTGCACGGCTCGTGTTAAACTTTATTAATACAACAGAAATACTAACAGGTATTCCTTCTTCTCCTGCGTATTGTGGAACGGAAATGTATTGTGTGGTAGGGTAATGTGACGGATATCGTGTCAGATATTGAGTATTGAGTTGGTTGGATATTGCGGATACGGTATTGCTGTATTGTGGACACCAAGTCCACGAATGACCCGACGGAGAAGCCCTCTGGCTATTTATACCCATCGTTTAGACCAAAGGTCAAAGTTCAGACCACCACGCATTCATTGAACCTTACATGTTGGCACCCGAAAAAGGTGCGCGTAGACCTACCTCGACGAATGAGTGTTAGTGTGATGATTGTCGCGTCTTAGCATGTATTGTATGGTAGCAGCTGCTACAGTAGTTGTTATAAGAGCTCTTTTCTTTCAGGAGGACGCCATAGCCACTTTCAATTTCCTGAATGCAGAAGGACGTTATGTTGCCGCTGGGCTTTATCCTCCTGACGATATGGTCCTAATCAGCTCCTACCTTCATTTCTCTTTTAAATGGTGAAACGAAGAGGAAAATATTCAACATTAGTAAGCTTGCTCTTTCTAGGTGGTAGCAGATTACGAATACGGCCGAGCGTTGAATCTGTTGAAAGGATGGGATGAACTTGATGAGAATCCTTTACTTATGGGTCTAAACGACACCTTTGATCAAACAGGAGATCTCATCAAAAAGTTATGGAGTGGAAAAGGAGACTTCGAAAAAATTCGCCAAAGGGTAAGCGCTTTTGTGCCTGGCTTCCGAGATTCTCTTTGTTGACTGTTCAAAATCCTAAACTGTCTTGACAGCAGAGAAGCCGGAGGATTTTCAATAGAGTCCAGTTTCAATTTATTTTGTTTAGCAGTAACTTGGTCTCTGCAATATCAGTATGCACAACGTCTGTGTCAAGTGAATGATTTGGTTTATTTCAGCTATTGTTACCTCCAGAGGAGCGAGAGGCTGCGTATCGAGAAGAATTGGAGCGGTTCAAGCAAAAGAAATTGGCGGACAAGTCAGAGTCATAATTTATTTCAATGTAGTGATCTCATCGGTGCGCGGTGCATGCTAGTTTGTTGGTAGGATAGTAGTTAGAACTATCTGCAGTTGCGCTCAATAGAATTGTTTTTATTCCCCCCATTTATTCAGCGAAGAACACCTCACCTTCTTTTGTGATTGGGAATTGAAAAAGAACATCAGAATATTTGTTATGTTGCGCTAATTTCCAGAGAATTGTCCTTTCGGATTTTCTGATACAACTGTAATATTTGTTATGTTGACTAGGCTAGTTAGGTAAGAGGTATAGTACAGTAGACGTTTCTGAACATTTTTTTAATATAGTTTATCTTTTGGAACCGTCGCCTTGTGGTTTACCGTTGAGTTGATTCGATTGCATTCGTGTGGTGAAAACCCACTTGATAAAGTTTTGTAAAGAAGTGTAGTGTCTGTAGTCACCATGTATTCAGAACAGAAGTCTTATTGAACGGGCATCGGAATACTGCAGTTGTTCAAGATCAAGAAACGCTGCTAGTTAGGCTTCCAATGATGGCCCAGAGTTTGATCCCATGAACACATGCATGTGTTAGAGCACCATTTGCCACTACTCTATCTCCATCTGATTTTACGGGATTGCCATGCAAATCCTAATTCCTATAGTCACACTAACGTTTCGAACTATCAAGAGTCGTGATTTGTCGTAGAATAACTCGTTGTACATCAGTGGCTGCATTCATAGTCCGCCGTCCGCAGCCCGCGAGCGAGCGAGCGATCGGGGGCGGTGCATTCATAGTCCGCCGTACGTTAGTAAATTGAAAGTTGAATTTTCGCTTTGTATGTTGAGAAGCAGTACACCTAATGAGCCGAAAAATTATATATTCTCAACCCCTGAAATGTAGTGTAATGCCAAGTGGCGCACTGTTATACACGCACGGTCCGGTGATCGAATTCATCCTAACAGGTCCCTATTCTCTGAATCATGCCTCTTCTCATCTTTGTGCACCATTGCTACCTCAGGGCAAGCCTGTCTAGATTGCAGATCAAAAAAACAGTTCACGATGTTTCGGGGGCATTTAATTTCAGGCGAATAGTGGGAATTGCTAGTTCAGAATAGTGCAAAAGTGGCGGAGAAAATGCGGAAGTCGGCGTCTCAGGGCTTGGAAGGGAATGTGACGACAGAAGTTGCATGGGAGGGATATCTGGGCAAGCTCTTCAAATGCGTGTGCTATTGCATACCGCTGACTAAAGCAAGCTGCCTGCGTGCAAGAAGAGGGTACCGTTGCGAATGGGGCAACCTCTACAGCTTTTACAACGCTCAAGAACTCGCCCGCCCTTGGGGTGTACTTCGGCTAAACCGGTTTCGGTGGTCATTACTACGCCCTATCCTGACTGTTTTTCGACCCGACCGTGTTACCTAGACTATACTTGGGGCTCACGGTTCCATCTAGAAGGGAACGCTTAGAAACCAAATGGAGCGTGGGCTGTTTGTTCGAATGGTTTGGCGCAGGGTGTACAAAAAGGTGGCGATTCCAAAGAAAAATAAATAAAAATAAATAGAAAACCTTCTTAATGTTAGAACTTTATCGATTTTTTTCGGCTGCTCGTGATATTTCTAAGATCAAAATGCAACTTAAGAAAGTACAGTTTGAATGAATTTTCAGGGACGTTTAGGATCTATAGAGTGGCATGAACTATATTAAGGACATAGCCCACGATAGAAATGGTTTTTGAGTACTTCCCCTAGGAATACCCAGTGCTCCTCGCCCGAAGTTGACAGGAGTCCCAAAACTCAACAGCTACGGCATAGTGGGAGCCCCGTTACCGGATAGCCCGGACTTTCCGCCCTCGATCGATGTCACGTAGGACGAGTGCTGAGGCGATACAGATTGCAATATTTTTTTCTTTCTAGACCCACACACAATCAGCTGACCGCCGAGTGTTGAGGCGATGTTTTTCTCCCACTCTTTTTTCCTATGATATTCTTTCTGCTGCCGCGATCTATTATTTAATTTTCTATCCCAAGGGGCTGAAAAAGGTGGGTTACATCTGCTGTTACTGGGGTTTTTTTTGTTAACTTATGCTTGTAAGTGAATGAATTTTTGCTTACCGTAAACTGTTATTCGTACCAGGACCCACACATAGGCAGTGAGACACATTGTATAGCTCGTACAAACGCCCCATTCGTCTCATTCTGTCCAGCCCCCTTTCTAACGATTTTCAAGCCTTTTTTTCACTTTGGAAACACCGACTCACGCAATTTCTTTGCCTTCATCGCCCTATTACCCATCCTATCTTCCATTTTTCGTCATAATCTTGATTAACTGAAAATATCGCGAACTGTGCCTTTAAAGTCGCCATAGCATAGATTCATAGATGCAATGCCAATAATTAGCATGTATAGATGTCGTAAGAACATTTGTGCCTCTTGCGCAATGGCTACGAAAATGCTCTCGACACCAATTGGGTAGTGAAGCGATAATAAATTGATTGAAGCATAAAGTGAAAGTGACCGGAAAGCAGGAGAAGGGGTTTGAGAGCAGGATGTGGTCATGTGTTTTGTTCAAAACTCATCACCTTCTAAAATAAATAAATAATTAGTTTCCAGTTCTCACGGTACAGTTCCCACTGCATAGGATCCACGTAGGCAGTAAGTTTTTGCGTGGATTATTTTCTAAAGACCTATTCAAAAAATTATTTCTGAGCAAGTTGGAAGGATTTCTCAACCCACAGTTGGATATCCGAATCTAATATGAATTTGTAACAACGTTTGAAATAAAAGAAATGTGTCATTCAGCACTTTGTCGCCTTTGGACCATGCCGACACAGATTGGATCATGCCGGCACAGTGAGTTACGTATAGAATAAAAGAGTTGTTTTGGAGATAATTAGCTCTCCACAGGGGTCCGCAAAGGCAAGTCGTAGTCAGATCGGTTTGAACTTTGCGGACCAGTCTGTTAATACTTACATCAAGCGTCTTCACTCTGGCTAAGATTCGATTCTGTCGATGGTCCAAAAATAGTCTTGAGCATTCTAACGTTCTTGCGTCCAAAAAACACACCATTTCATAGGGGCCTACTCAATAACATTATAGTTAGGCCCAACTTTCGCTCTTCTTTGACCAAACATTGCAAAATCTTGTAGTTACTGTTTTGTTAGATAATCGAAACCTTCGAAAGAATTAGAATGAGCTGGATGCCGACCCGCTCGAAGGTGCCGTATCCCTCTCATTTATAAAGTAGTAACTTGCTGTGCCGGTTTATCGGTTTGTCGGTATGTCGGTTTGTGTGTCTGTCCCTCCGAGAAATTTATGATTACGATAAAGGCAATGATCTGGAAAACCTAGCTTTATTCTACACTTCTTTCTTATATATAAGGTCGTGGAAACTTGGTAGGTAGGTTCATGGAGTAGAGTGAGTACTGGATAGTGTAGTGAGTGATGTGGAGAGAAGTAGGTACCTCAAAATTGTAATTTCGATCTGCATCGTGGTATGTATACCCACCCTGACAAAAATCGGAGCTGATAATGTAGTTGGGAGACCTCCGCTTTTTTTCAACATAATTTCACCATAAGGAAGTTAGCACATAATAGTGCTCATTAACGTTTCTTAGCCGGGAACATTGAGTTTTTTGATCTGAGCTTCAGAAGGGAAAGGTAATCATCTCACCCCTACCCCGCCGCTCCCCCCTACTGAGGCTTACCCTGAAACCATATTCTTTCGTCTAGAACCGTTTCTAAATACAGGTCAGGTCGGCTACCCCTCCTCTGCACTCTAGCCTTCAGTGTTCGATAAAAGCGATGCCCTCACTACCCTTCCTAATCACTTAGTAAAGTAAAAAATGAGGCACGGCGTAAGTCGGGCGACCCAACTGGTAGTAAAAAATGTGATAGGTCGGAATGCACGATTTTTTTCTCCTGGCTTGAAGGCTGGCAGTACCAACTATAAGATGACCATGAGCGCAAACAGATACTTATGTATTTATTTTTTATTTACTTATGTACTCGTTCGTATCTACATTCGCTCGCGTATTTACACCACTGAGGACATTGTGTACTGTCGTAACCAATAACTGAAGCGAACTCAAACAAAGTAAATGTCAGCCGTTGGTAGCAGTTCGCTGAAACCCAAGTTGATATGGGCGAGCGAAGGAAGAAAGCTGAGAAATCATCGAGATGTACCAGTTCAGTAAGTTTTCTAGTAATCTGTGAAACGAAGAAACTAATTAACCAGTACACAATAGCAACTATACCACTTAGCCGTGAAACACTCATCTGGTAAAATTTTATGGGGCATTTTGGGGCATAGTCGGTATACCGGCAAGTAGACAACGGGCCAACCTCCTAGACACTCTTCCAAAGCTCCTTCCGAAGATCAGTGTATCAAAAATATCACTGATTTACTCGATCTATAGCTTTCGGTTGAGAGCCGATTATCTCATCATCAGACATTATCAAAGGGTATCATCGAGGTAAATCAGTTTATTTGGCATTCAATGAACCCATGACCAGACGGAAATTGAACGGTATGTACAAATAACGATTGGAATACAATGCACATAAAAGTAAAATACATATTAATGAAACTTTTCTTGCCAGACGGATGGATAGGTAGGACTGGCATACGATACGCTCTCAGGAGATGGTTGATAACCTCCTTCTGATTCGCTTAGAATGGATACAAGATAGGCGATATATCTGAAACATTCTCCTTCTGATATTGTCAAGGGACTCAAAAATCACGGGAAGGGTTAGAAACGTACCCTTGAGCGACTCGAAGAGTTTCTATCTTTGTCATTTTGGGCTCTTCTGGTTCTGTAGGCAGCAGCGTACGAAGATGCTCCAATGCATCATTCAGACTGTTCATTCGACGACGTTCACGAGCATTCGCCTGAAGGTAAGCCTTATAGAAGGGAACAGAGAGCAAGCAGCAGTTCAAGGACTTACTTTATCCCTTCGGATCATACGGGCTCTCTCGATGGTGGCAGGACTTCGCTTACGACAACGGTACTTCC